GAGAAATAACTGGTTGTCCTAATTAAGGAATTCAGCAATCTGTTAGGATAGTTACAAGACAAGCTTTAATGGAGTGTTATTAGCGGTTCCTTTATTCCTTACATTACAAAGGAGAAATAACTGGTTGTCCTAATTAAGGAATTCAGCAATCTGTTAGGATAGTTACAAGACAAGCTTTAATGGAGTGTTATTTTTGATTCCTTTATTCCTTACATTACAAAGGAGAAATAACTGGTTGTCCTAATTAAGGAATTCAGCAATCTGTTAGGATAGTTACAAGACAAGCTTTAATGGAGTGTTATTAGTGGTTCCTTTATTCCTTACATTACAAAGGAGAAATAACTGGTTCTGTTCTAATTAAGGAATTCAGCAATCTGTTAGGATAGTAACAAGACAAGCTTTAATGGAGTGTTATTAGTGGTTCCTTTATTCCTTACATTACAAAGGAGAAATAACTGGTTGTCCTAATTAAGGAATTCAGCAATCTGTTACGATAGTTACAAGACAAGCTTTAATGGAGTGTTATTAGTGGTTCCTTTCTTCCTTACAGAATAAAGGGAAAATAACCGGTTCTGTTTCTATACTCAGCAATCTGTTAGGATAGTTACAAGACAAGCTTTAATGGAGTGTTATTAGTGGTTCCTTTCTTCCTTACAGGATAAAGGGAAAATAATCGGTTCTGTTTCTATACTCAGCAATCTGTTAGGATAGTTAAATAGGCCGGGATCGAGTGTTGTTAGTCATTCCTTTGTTTTGAATACAGTGCAGCACTGAGCGACCCCTACCACCGATTAAATCTAGTAACAAGCTAAAAAACCTGCCATGAAGGAATTAAAATTAAAGTTCAATAAAGAACTCATCTGCTGTAAATAATAGTTTTATTGATCTGTTACAGGAATTACTGTAATAAGCGCTAATGTTATCATTGAAATGAAAAAAGTCGAATATCTACATTTTAAATAAAAAAATAAAACTAAACTCATTAAAACAATTATCGCCTACGTTATTACAGTTTAAAATAAGTTGTCAGAATTCTCATTAATTTAACGGTTTCAACTTCACAAGGAAAAAAAAAATCTTACTACACTTTTTGATCAACCCAACCATTCTACGAAACTGCTAGTACAAATATTACAACGTTAATGACGTGGTTCACTATTATATTTTATCGAGAATCAAGAACCTTATATTACCGTGTTTTACTTCGTTACAAAGCTCGAGTGTTCCGCGAGCATAGTTTATTAAGAACAATAAAGGTTTTAAAACAGTCGTAAAAGAAAAGCCAGTTCACTAAAGAATACACCATCAACAAGCTTAAGGTAATAGAGAAACACATTTTGATGCCATGGTGCACCCATAAAAGCTCGTGTCTCTAAAGATTTGAACCGCTGTCGGTAAAGAACGAACTTCTGCTCTGGAGATTCTAAGCCTTAGCCTATTGTCTCGTTATCCCATTCATTTAGGATTGCTTATTCTAGCATAATTTAACGATCGTGTTGCGTTGTTTCCTGTTAATATCGGTGAAATCCTACAAGTTATGTGGTAGCCATTTCCCTTCCTTAATAGAGTTCTTGTCTCCGTACAGTACTTCTATTTCATACGGACGATAAATTCTACGATATTGTCTTTATCGAGATAATAATGCCGTTCATACGAAGTTTATGAAACAGAGAAGTGAAGCGTTGTAATTGACGCGGTCTTGTACTTTATTAATAACTATCATGAACCGCATATAATTCACAGTAATTTCAGTAAACGTGTAAAATTACTGGACTTGCTCAAACACACTTGGATAAGTTTTTTGTAACTGGGAAACTGAGCAATAGATAATAACATTTAAAAGCAGTTATTTCGAACATATCCTAAACACAAACCATTGTATTTTACAATCAACCTTTGTGAATATTTTATGTAATCTATAGTCGTCATGAGATGTTTTATACGGCTAATGACCATTTTATTAAAAATACTTGTTAAGTAGATTTGAACAATAACTCTACAGGTTAATTTTTATAGTTTCTGATGGTCAAAAGTCTTAAAGTAATCAATGAAGATTAAGTGCGATTAAACGGAAAGTTCCTCATTTTAAGAAAGTTATCCGTACTTACAAACTAATATATCACTCTATGTTAGCAGAAGTTAAGAAACTTATCCGTACTTACAAACCAATATATCACTCTATGTTAACAGAACTTAAGAAACTTATCCGTACTTACAAACCAATATATCACTATATGTTAACAGAACTTAAGAAACTTATCCGTACTTACAAACCAGTATATCACTCTATGTTAACAGAACTTAAGAAACTTATCCGTACTTACAAACCAGTAAATCACTCTATGTTAACAGAACTTGAGAAACTTATCCGTACTTACAAACCAATATAT